CTTTCATATGTCCCAATATTTTTTTCTTCCTAAGATTCTAGGATGGTTCCTGATTTGTTCAGCATCTTTCTTCTCTCTGCTCACCACTTGCTATGCACGCTGCCGGTCTAAAGTTAGCTATCTGCAGCTCAGTTTTTGGAAGACATATGCACAAAAGGAACAGGAGCATTTGGAAAATACATTTGTGGACTATGCCAACATGCTGAGTGAGAGGAATCTGAAGTCCTTTTTTGAAAACAAGAGGCCAGATGTCTTTCCCATGCCTACCTTTGCTGCCTGGGAGGCTGCTTCAGAACTGCATTGTTTCCACCCAAGCCAGCAACATTACAGCACCCTCCACAGGGTGGTGGACGATGGCCTGGTGCCCTGCCCCCAGGATGCTGAGACCACAAGGATTCTTGTGGGTACTGCCCAGGATTTGTAGCGTCCCCACTGTCACTGACTTGCAGTGTTGAGCAGTGCATCCATTCTGACAGCCTCCTGCTGAGTCCATAGCAACTCTGCATCTCTGTATTTTCTCAAAGTTAGAAGATTTTTTCTAAAATATGAGAAAAAGGGAAACATCTTGGAAGCTCTCCAGTGTAGTAAATGTCAGGATGTGATGAAATTGATTTGAATGACGATCTTGCCTGGATGGGGACTGGGCTCAGGAGGTGCAAACACTGATCCAAGTTCTAAGACTTTATGATTCAGCAAACAGCTTTATGCAAGTGGTTCCTCACTCTTTGTAAATATGAATCTTGGTGTTTGGGGGCTGAGACAGTGGCTTCTGAGGGAGCCAGAAACTCTGACTGTGGACTTCTGGATGCTGTGGCATCAGAGGCATTGTCAGCAGGAGTCCTTGTTGTTCAAAGCAAGCCTAATGTGACCTGTGCCTTATGTGGTATATGAATTTCTCCCATTTGAAATTACTTCTCATAGAATCAAAAGACGCCAGTTCTCAAAAATAGCCAATTACAAGAACAAAATGTGTAAAATCCAGAGATTTTAGAAACATGTTTTCACTGAATACTGAAAGTATGTCCCTGTTGTGTGTCCTGTGCACTTTTGCCTTCACAGACCAGTTTCTACACTCATGCATGAATGTATTGATAGAAATACACATAATATATATTCAAACACTACTCAACCTAAAACTTCATCTATCGTCTTCTGGATTTAAAATTAAAAGCATTATTATGGGCTCTCATGTGGCATAATGCCTATTATTCCACCAGTATATCTCAGTGAATTTGGGTTACTATAACACAGCGTCATGGACTGAATGGCTTATAAATGATTCAGATTCATCTCTCACAGTTCTAGAGGTTGGGAATTCTGAGATCAGAATGCCACATGTTCATGTTATAGAAGGGCCACCTATTTTGCAGGTTGCTAAATTCTTGCTGAATCCACTCATGGTGGAAAGAAGAGATAGGCTCCCATGGACACCTTTTTATAAGGGTACCAATCCCAGAGAAGGCTCTGTCCTCATGATATAATTATCACTAAAGGCAGGACCTTCTAATAGCCTTGGGAGTTTAGAGTTTCAACACATGAGTGGGATGGAAGGGTACAAATATTAAGACTGATTAAGGGTAAACTGTTCTAACTTAAGGTCTGGGAACACTGATTGAAGTATTACTTTTATTAAGCTATTTTGCAGTTTTGCATTTATCAGAAATGATGCAAAACTTGCATCCTGCTATGTGATATATATCCATAATGGTGTGTGTGTGTGTGTGTGTGTGTGTGTGTGTGTGTGCATGCTTGTACACACAAATTCTCCTTGAGTATCTGAGTGGAACTATGCTCACATCTTGCATCACTGGGCACTATAGATAAGGACTCCTTATTACCTATGGATATCATCTCCTTATTACCATAGCTCATGATGACAAACTGAATTTATAACCCTACAGAGTATGTCTACAATTCTGTGTCGTATAAGAAGAAAAAGATATTGTGACTTCATGCTCATTCCTGTCAGAACTTCTATTAACCTTGAAATTTCCACAATGTGTCTTTTCATATAGCAATGAGATGAAAAGTAGCCTCAGGATGGGAACTGGCTACAAAAGGAATTGCCATGTGATTACAAAGTTGAAAGTTTTAGCCCCATTCTTGGACCTCCAGGGAACAGAGAAGGGCTGACCATTGAGTTGGTCACCACAGTTCACAAGGTAATCAATCATGCTAACATAATGAAGCCTCCACAAAATCTTTCCAAAGGATAGGGTTCTGAGAGAGCTAACAAATGGAAGGTGGCATTTGCAAAGGAGGCACAGAAGCTCTCTCTCCCTTTTGCCCACACTTGTCTGTAAGCATTGCTGCCATTTGGCTGTACCTGAGTTGTGTCTATTACGTAAAACAAGCAATAGTAAGCCAAGCACTTTCCTGAGAGCTGAGAACCACCCTAGCATATAATTCACTCACGAGAAACTGATTTGGAGCGAGGAAAGGAGGGAGACAGGGAGAGAGACAGAGAGACAGAAGATAAGGTATTACAGGGGGCAGAAAAACACAATAAAGAGACAGAAAATGCATCAGAGACAAATGCTTCTCTTTAAGCCTTCTTGAATTGGAGCTCCTTTTCCTTTGATTCTGCTGAGCTGGAAGATAGCATATGGGAATCAGCCTCTGTTTGTATATCTCTTGGGCTGAGTGAAAGATAAAAGCAGTTCTACAAAAGTAGCTTAGTTATAGCAAGTTGACAATTAAGGAGTTAACTCTGGGCACCCTAAACTCCAGAGGTTTCCTACAGTTATAAAGCTTATATTCATAACAATCACTGCCTCATTCAAGAATATTCACGCTGGCTAAAAGGAAGCTAGCAGCCTGGGTACTTGTGAACTGCAGCTTAGTAAGCAGCAGAGGAGCTCATCCTCCTATTCCGAGGAGGAGTCACCCCAGGATGTGTCAGGTACTTTTTCTGATTCCTGGTCTTAATTCCTTTAGAACAAGGCTTTAACTCAAGAGGAAAACAGATTCAAGAAATCATGTCTGTCCTAGGGATAACCTTGGAGGGAATGGGTGGAGACAGGATGGGAAAATTGGTATCCATCTTTGAGTGTCCAAAGGTAATAGGTAGTCAGAGGTATGAAAGTAAGCTGGTTTTGGCAGGAGGGATTTCAGAAGAGTGGACAGTTTGTTGTCTTAGGTTGGGCAAACAGTAGTTAATACTTGAAGTTGTGCATAAGTGATTTATTAATAAGGAATGTGCTCAGGAACAACCTGGTAGCAGCACAGAAACAGGTAAGAGTGGGGTTTCAAGTGAAGACTCAGTCTGATGGGGGAATTAAGGGTCATTGACATCTTTCTCTGGGGGCTCTAGAATGCTAACTGGGGCTTTATCCCAAAGAGGTCTCTGGTGCTACTGCTGTAGCTTGAATCACTGCTGGGTAGCAGTGGTTCAGGAAGTGACCCTCCATAGAGGCTTGTACCACAAAGGACAATGAGCATCCTGAAATCAAATATCTGGAGAGAATGTTGAAGGGTCCCACTAATCTACTATGCCAATCTCCTCTAGGTCTAGAGTTGATGTATACAGTGACAACCTGGACTGCAACGGATCTAAGACCAGGCTAATTTGATTTTTAAAACTCTAATTTTCTTTAAAAACAAAGGGCAATGGATTTGGGTACTCTGCCTTTATCTATAAATGTTGCACTCTTACATTAAAGAAGAGGGGTGGAAAATGCTCTTTGAAATAACTTTTTTATTCTGTATTTAAGACAGGCTCTAAAGAGTCTTACTACACAGATCAGACTCAGAGTGATTCGCCTGTTTTCAGCTTCCCAAGCACTGAGATTACAGGCGCATGCCACCATATCCAGTCTCAATCACCATCTCAGTGTGCTTTGTGGGCAGGGCTGGCAAGGCATTCCAGGAATTGAATCTCAGCCACTGCACTCTGCCTAAGCAGATGTTTAGTCTGCTGAGGTATCAGACCAGCCCTTTCTCTTTAAAATAACTTGATGCTTTTGCATACAAGGAAACTAGACAAGGAAAAATTTCAATGACATGTAACATCTGTCTTGTGAAAATTATCCTATGAATAAATTGCGTATAAATGTACAAGATTATTTTTTTCTGTGAAGTTCCTACTTGTTTGCTCAGACTGTACTGATAAACAGTATGCTTTCAACACACTCTGCTTATTCATATCCAATAGAAAAATGGAAAAAAATTATTTACCAAATAATATAAGAATAAACATTGGTAGAGAAATTATAATTCTGCATATTATTGCTTTAATACATTGATATGTAGATATGTGTGTGTACATACAAAACAATGATTGAAAAAAATATATGGTTTTTTACTTGGGACCTTTGAAACATCACTGAAATATGTACATTTAACAAGAAAATAAAGTTATTGATTTCAAGTATGGTACTATATTTCTTTAAAATACAATATCATATTTCAGATTTACTATAAAAATTGGTTAATAACTTGGTCTTAACTATCCAGCGGAAAAGTATAACTACAAGGTATAAAAAATAAAGCTATATTAATATGCTGAGCTGTAAAAGGCTCAAGTCAATAACTTCTGACAATTGCCATATGTGCTGATAACTCACTACTGTTATGGACATTGGTCTATATTGGGTTATTTTGCTGCATTCAAGTACTTACAATCTTTGGACTGGCATCAAGGACTTAAAGATATCTTTAAAGATAGCTTCTCTAACTGCAATGGAACACACATCTCTGACAAAATAAAACAAAAAAGGTGGATATGTTGGGAAGCATGGAAGCTAGGAAATTGATCAAATGTGTGTAGGTAGGACTAGACCTCAGTGCCTACAGTGAACAAGCTATCTCAGTCCTGAGACATCCTGTCTGGTTAGTCAACTATTAGTCACTAGGAAACCTTGTGTCACGTGTTACTAACTTTATAAAACTATAAATAAAATACCATTTTGTTGTGAAAAGAATATACATATACACAAGATAGTTAGGATGGATATACAGCTACTTTCTCTTAGTTCATTGAGAAGAAAGGCTTGTAATAATATTGTTTAGGCAAGATATCATGTCTATATCTTATCCTCTGAATAACTATTATAAACACAACAATATGCAATGTATTAATTATTGTAACTGTCCTACTAACCTATTTTGAAACTATTTCATTGCTACTTTACCTTTTTTTCTCATTGAAATGGATTAAAAAATTGATTATGATTCTAAAGTCTCCAGGAAACTCTCATCTCTTTTCTCTTCTTACCTGGCAATATAACTACTAACTTGAGACAAATCACCTTATAAAGAATAATGTTTATTTTTGTTCATAGTATTGAAAGTTGTAGTCCATGATCACTGGTACACAAAGTTCTGGGCTTGTGGTAAGGCCATACCACATGGTGGAACCACATGGCCCAGTAAAAATCTTACATCATGACCAGGAAGCAAAAGAGAAAAATAAGGAGCTGGGTTCCCATCATTCCCTTCAAGAGACACCTTAATGATATCACACAATCCACTATACCTGCTTCTTCCCACCAATAGCACTTGGAAACCAACTCTTTAACCCAACGGCCTTTGAAGGGCTTTCCAGATCCAAGCTATAGCATAATAATGCTACTCTTCTTAGACTTTGGTGGTTCTGAGCTCTCTAAGACATGTATCTCAATTTCTAATAATTCCCTCTTATTTTTCTCTGTTGTACAAAGCAGGTAATACTTAATTTCTTTTATGGGCTTATTATTTTTCAAAATAAGAAAAATTAGGTGGCTAGTGGAGGAGGTTAGATAAGAAGGATCTGTGTCAGTGACTCTCAATAATGACTGCCTTTTGGAATTACCTGGGTAGAGGTAATCTCACTAATACTCTCAACGTCTGGTAACCCCCCAACCCAGAGATCTTGATACAATTTTTCTTGGTTGGAGCCTGGACATTGGCTTTTATAAAATTTCCAAAAGTGATTCTAATGTGCAGCCATAGGGGAGAGCTGATTCTACACAGCAAGTTCATGGAGGTAGTAAGTTGTGTGAAGCTGCAATGTTTGAAATATTATCTGGTTTTCAAACCATGATGTCCAAAAAAGGTTTAACAATTAGTTCTCTGGTAGAAGCATCCTAATTTTGACAATGTCCACATTATGATCTTAAGTTATCAAGGTACTATTCCTGTGTGCAGTTAGAAAGAGGTACTATCTGTGGTCTTTATCAAGTATATACGAGCTTCAAAGAAGGGTTTTATAATGGGTTTCTTTTTGTTTGTCGAAGTGACATTGGTTTTAGCCAAATGAACTTTGGAGAATTTTTGGTATATCTTTGGTGTCATTTCAATAAAGCTTACCTAATATGTTAGCCAGAAACACACACACACACACACACACACACACACACACACACACACTCTATCTATCTATCTATCTATCTATCTATCTATCTATCTATCTATCACCTATCTATCTATCTTATATTGCTTATACAGTTATAGAGCATAAAACATCCCGCAACCGCAATATGCCATCTTCTAGCAGGAGAAACACAGGAGCGGGTATCCTGGTTCAATACAAGACCAAAAGCCTAAGTATCAGGAAAATCAGTGAAAATTTCAGCCTGAAGCCAAAGACCAGACAGCCTGGGGTCCTGATGTTTAAGGACATAAGCAAGCCAGAGTGAGAGCCAGAGTGACAGCGAGACTGAACCTTACAGCCCTGATTATTGCATTTGTTTTAGCTCAGGTTTAGACGTAGGAGTAAAGAGGCTATTGTGGAGATTCCAGCCCTGGTACATATGACATGTATGGAAAAGAAGCTGGATCACAACCACCAGCTGGAGTTAAAGGCCACACATCTAAGGTCCTAGTGGCACCACTGCGGCCAACTCAAAATGTTTAAGCCACGTCAGTTGAAGCTGTGGGTTTTATAGAGCAATGTTCACTATGTCCACTGCCAATCACTAATCCAGAAAACCATGATTCTAAATAAATGTCTACTAGATCAGCTACAAAATTTGGGAGCAATAGGAAAGAATATATAGCCAAACACAAATTAATAAATTTTATAACTTATACAAAAAGAAAAAATAGATGCAAATTATATTTATACATATATTATATAAAGACTACCTGCATAGTTTTTCTCCTCAATGTTTTATTTTTTTAGGATCCAATTAGCTGTATTTTGTCATAATTTAATAAATACTGATAATGTACCTTTCCAAAATTAGCTACAGCAATGCTAGGGATATAGCTCAGTGGGATAGTGCCTGCCTGGCAAGTGCAAGGTCCTGAGTTTGAGTGCTAATACCAAAAATGAAAGAAAATTCGTTCAATGAAAGCCTGAGATGCCCTTTTAATTATTTTTGGTTAAATTCTATTTGAAGGGAGCAGACTGCTGTGGGTTGAATTCTATTTAAAATAAATACATATAATATTGGAGGAGTAAGACACTGAGCTATTATTTAT